TGTTGTACTCTTTTGTCCTGGGGTTAATATTTGTGGTACCATAAAAGGAATCGAAAATGTCGAAGAAGATGCTGAAAAAGGTCATGCCTGTCAAGTGTTCGAAATACCATTGCACAATTTAAATCGAATGATGCGGGAAATTTCAAACAAAGATCTTCAGTCCCATTTACTCAGAGATACAGCTTACAAAACAATCTCGCTGACGAATGGATACCATAGTAAGTTACTATTGGCTTTAGTTTTCGTATAACTTACAATCTACCTTTTTTCAGCGTATTTCAAGTATAAGATGGTCGATGTACTAGATGTTACTCGAGATAAAACTGACCATTCAAACGATATGTTCTATCTTATTCATGCCAACGAGATATTGAAAGCCGATGATCCAAATGTTGTCGTGGTGCCGAATGTGAAGACATTTGCAGACTGTTATCGAGCTTGTAAAAATTCAGATGAATTAAACTGTCGAACTCTGTCTTATTGCTCAGGTGATAAAACAAATGAGTGCCTTGTTACGAACATGGTTCCGAGCGCAGCTCCAATTGATGAATTCGAAAATAATCCCAAATGTGGAATCTTCACTGAAAATCCTGTACTCCATTATACAGTGAATAGAAATCGACGATTTAAATCACAAAGCTCGCTCTCAGAGGAATTGTGGCTTTATCAATGTGCCTCCAAATGTGGTTCAGATAATCGCTGTCACTCTTTCCAAATTTGTGGTTCAACTTGTACTTTAAATGAAGCATATACCGATACTGCCACCGAATATAGTGATACTTGTGACATTTACATTCGTAAGTATAACGATTAAGTGCAAAAGAAAACTGAGTATAACTTGAAAATTTTGCCTTTTTTCTTTAGCTAAAGTTGCAAATGAATATTTTGCCACAGGACATAAACTTGTCACGGAAGTTTTTCACTGAGTATAATATAAATCACGACCAATGTGCTGCATTATGTTTTAGCAGGATTGGTGGTACAGAACCTTGTCAATCGTTCAATTTCTGTCCCAAGGGTCGATCAACAAGTACTTGTTCATTATCTAAGTTTCAGAAGACTCCGAAGACTAAAACTCATGAAGAAAAGGTTTAAATTACGGCCTAATCGATCCATTTAGACACGAACATTCAAGTCCAGTTAATGTGAAGAAAGGAACCAGTGGATCAGCAGCATTCGTAATCATCTTGTTCTTCTTAGCCACCGGTTTTTATTCATATTGTAATTCAATTGCATATTCAGATAAAAAATATTGACCATTCGAAGTGGAAGTTCAAACGATAATTATGCTTGGACACGGCAGGTGGATGAACAACCATTAAACTAAAAAGTGTCAATGGTGAATACTAAGATTGATAATTAAATATTTTTAAATTTGTATTATCTATGTTGCAATATTATATAATCAGTGATTGACTCTCAACCATTGACGTAAAGATGATGATTATGATAAAAGAAGAAGTGAAAAACAAAACACTCAATTGAGATTTACCTGAAGATAAAAAGTAATAGTATTTCATAAATACTGAATAAAATATTATTAGTTAATTAGAAATTGATCATTAAAGATCAACCAACGACTTTGGTAGTCCAGTGAAGGGCAACCAAAGTCAGTTAAAATACAATTCTTTTAATTTAGTTACTTGTATTATTTTAGTTAAAATAAATAACTTGTTTAATTAATAAATTTTTCTGGTTATATATTAATTATTGGTCAGTGAAGACCGATAGTTAAATCATCACCTCTAACCATAAATAGTGTGTACAAATCGCTCGTCAGTGAAGACGAAGATTTGATATTAAAGATTAACAAGCCAGTGAAGGCTAAAGGTTAATTCATCCCCAAATTGTGTTCTTATACAAACAAATTCAACCCTTTTTAATTTACATGTAATTTTACATTACATTTGGTGGCCGCGTGTGTGAGGTGAATTTAGAACTAATTTCCATGCAAATTATTCCTCAACTCAAACTGAACTATAAATGACCTTCAATTGCAAGTTAAATCGTGGTCTCAACCTCACTTAATGAAGAAATAAACTCAACAAATTATCAATCAATTAAAATCAAAATTAATAATCAACAAATCAACAACTATTAATCATACAATTAATAAATCAACAATTAAAAAATCAACAATAAAAAAAAATCAAAAATTAATAATCAACAATTAACAAATCAACGATTAAAACAATAAAAATTAAAGGATTATCTAATCAATGATCAGAAATTAAAATAATCAATTAGCATTATTAATTAATCAAACCAATTTGTATTTAAATCAATAATTACAATCCAATTTATGATTTTCCATTTATCTTTAAATATACGAAAGTAGTCTTTTTTGTATCTTCTCTTTACTATCATTAAGGTCAGTGAAGACCAATCTTTAGCACGATTGTTTTTTTATCTTGTTCATTCTGACAATTGATTTTCAGCGAATCGTTAAACGTGAGGTCAGTGAAGACCTTGCTTCGATTGTTTATTCTTCCTTAGACTATAAAATGAAAAACTTAACTGTCAGTGAAGACGTTATTCTCTCAATACATTCAATTATCACAAATTATCATCATATTATCATACAATTAACATTTAATAATATTTATCAGTATGAATTATTACTCTGATCAATTTGGATTTAATCCAATCGAATTTAACTCAACAATTAACACTATTAATCAGCCATGTCCTGAACAATCATATCACCATTGATTGGCCCAGAGGTGATAATGAAGATTTGATTGATTGGTTAATAAATTGAATTAGCTTCTAGTGCTTTAGGTCTTGGTGCTATTGAGATGTTCAAGATTATTCCTTTTATTTGCAAGGTTCAGTCAGCAAATGGTACAACGTTACCTGTAGTCCTATTCTGTCCGAAAATGCCTAAAACTTATGATGAATTAAGAATAGAATGATCTCGACCTTGCCCAATTGATTATCGCTCATCTCCTATAAATCATAAATAAGAGCCAAAACTAATAACGACTAACTTCTTTTGTCTATCAAATTCAAGAATTATGTATGTGAATGAATAAAAGATGCCAGAAAGCTCATGATAATCTTCATCCTTGAAAGACTTTACCTCAAGCTAAATTCATAATAACTTTACAAAAATCAAACATTAACCGAACTTATTAATACTAGCAAATTATTAGTAGATAAAACCGTCAATTCAAGAGTAAAACAAGAAAACGAAAACGAAAAATAATTTGAATTTAAATCAATTACAATTTAAAATTAATAAAATCAATGAGAACAACGATTCAGTCTCTTCAATTTTTCAAATTGCAAATACAAATCTAATTCACAAAGAAATCAAATTAAATAATAACAAAGTCCAAGCAATGTTCGATACAGGTTCCAGTTTAACTCTAATCAGAAATCTAGTTGATCGACTGAGTTTAAATTTGCAACCGTATTTTGAACCCTTCCTGTTAGCTGTTATTACAGCTCAGTTAAAATACTTGACAAGTCAAAGTTAGAATTAAATTTGTGACGACGAATCAAAGCAATGATATCAACAATCGTCCAAGTTACTGAATATTTGCCATACATCAATTGATGCCTTAATCAGTCAAGATCTAATGACTAAGGCCAATCTTATAATTGATTGCGCATCTAAACAATTTATATCAATATCAAACTAATTAATCTCACGAGTCAAGTGCCAAGATTCAAAACGAGATAAAAAGATTGAATTTATTGAAAACTTTGATCAAACGAATCAAAATCAATGCAAATTTAACGAAGAGAATGAACAAGAAGAAACTTTGTCCGATTTAATTGAATGATTCTCAAAATGAAATACCAATTGCTGAAGAGGTACCAAATTGATAGACAAACTGATCACGCTAATTATCCTAATCTTTACGTGGAATCAAACACATCAAATGTTTATCTTCACATTATTACTTTACTCTTCTTAAATTGTTATCCTAGACTCGAATATTATCAACCCTATCACCACACAAAAAATGAGGTAAATAACTCAAACAGTCATGAACTTAAAGATAATGTTTTCAACTGGTTGAAAAAGGAGCTGATGAAATTACCTAACGATAACCTCCTCATAAACTTCTCAAACATGGATTCTACCTTTACTTGCAGGATGCTCAAATTTAAGACGACGAAATACAATATTATATAACTGAAGATTGACCTCAACCATTGACGTAAGATGATTATGATAAAAGAAGAAGTGAAAACAAACACTCAATTGAGATTTACCTGAAGACAAAAAAGCAATAGTATCATAAATACTGGGAATAAAATATTATTAGTTAATTAGAAATTGATCAATAGATTAACCAATTCACTTTGGTAGTCCAGTGAAGGTCAACCAAAACTGTTAAAGTCATAAATTCTTTAATTTAGTTATCATCTTATTTTAGTTAAAATAAATAAGTTGTTTAATTAATAAATTTTTCCAGATTAATCACCACAACAGTTAAATCATCACTCTAACCATAATAGTGTGTACAAATCGCTCGTCGTGAAGACGAAGATTTGCATATTAAAGATTAAAAAGACCATTGAAGGTAAAAAGGTTAATTTATCCCCAAATTGGTTCTTATACTAAACAAATGTCAATCCTACTAATGAATTTACAAATATTTTACATTATTACCTATTAAAAATTTTCTCGGGGAATAAGAATCTATTACATTAAAGATCAAGCAAAATTTTCAAGCGAAACAAAAGTTGCAGTTAAAACTACGAAGATTCTATGAAATATTCTGGTAGTAAAGTAAAAGAAAAGTAAGAAAATGATTTAAGTTGAAGTTTTTCGTATCATTGCTTATAAAAGTTCATTTCTCATACGATAATAAACAATGTTGACCTTGGCGTTCAAACTAATCGGCCAGGGATCAGGTAAGACTTTTGCAACTTCATTGTTCATTGAATATGTATGTACAAGCATTTGGCTTATTATTAATATCTTCCAAGGGAAATAATTCAAATGCATTGATTATTAATTGGTTAGATGAATGCCAGAAAAGTTATCAATAGCAATGGAGTTTATTCAGCGATTATCAATGAATATTTATGGTAAAAATAATATTTAATTTACTTAATTTTTTCAATTGTAATTTTAAGAGTTACATTAATTATTGATTTAGATCAAGTTGAAACTACCAATTGCCTTTTTGGATGGAGATTCAATTAGCTTCTGGCTGTTCATCGTCTACTTGTCGAGTCCAAGTGAAACTTTGGCCATTACTTGAACTTTGAGTACTTCGATTTTTTATCTTCAAATACGCAATTGGAAGTCCAATGCCGAATAAGAAACCAGTGGCTATGAAGATCAAAATTATTCCAAATGCTGCTGATCCGCTGGTACCTTTTTTTACCATGGAAGTTGATTGTTTTTTCGTATTCGAGCTTTTAACTAGTTCGTAATTGTAACAACTCGTTGCATCTGTGGTTGCAGTCTTTGAATCTTTGACTGAGTATTTCGACAATGAACAAGTACTTGTCGATCGACCTGATGGACAGAAGTTGAACGATTGACAAGAGTCCGAATCATCAGTCCAACTGTAACATAAAGCGGCACATTGATCATAATTTAAATTGAATTCGACGTGAAAAGTTTCCGATACAAGTTTTCTTCCTGTGGCCTGATACATATTCGAAACTTTGGCTAAAGAAATAAGGAAACAATAGTCATATAATAATTGTTCATTTTTTCTAACACTTTCACTAATTAGACTTACGAATGTAAATTTCGCATTCAGAATCATATTCGGTACTCGAATCTGTATAAAATCCACCCATGGTACAAGTTGAGCCACAACTTTGGAATGAGACACAGTTTTCATCTGAACTACATTCTGCTGCACATTGATCGACAAACAATTCTAGTGGGATCGAAGATGGTGATTTGAATTGACGATTTCTGATCACTGAGTAATCGAGTAAATTGTTTTTGGTATAAACTGCGCAGTTTGAGTCACTCTTGGTCAGATCAATTGGAGCTTTTTCGGAGGTCATATTCGTCACTGCACATTCACTTGTCTTCTCTCCAGAACAATAAGAGAAAGTTCGACATTCTAATTCATCTGAGTTTTTACAATTTCGATAACAGTCGGCAAATGTCTTCACATTTGCCACAACAACAACATTTGGATCTTCAGCTTTTAATTTCTCTCCAGAATGAGAAAGGTAAAACAGATCGTTTGAATGGTCAGTTTTGTCTCGAGTTTCATCCAAAATATCAATTACTTTGTAATTGATTGAAGCTGAAGAAAAAGGATAAAATGGTTAGAAATTAAGACAAAAAGTTCGATATAAGACCTACTCCAAGATTTATCAGTCAAAGAGATTTTTTTGTACGCTGTGTCTCGAAGTAAACGGGATTGAAGATCTTTGTTTGAGATTTCCCGGATCATTCGATTTAAATTGTGCAATGGTATTTGGAACACTTGACAGACTTGACCTTTGTCAGCATCTTCTTTGACATTTTCGATTCCTTTCATGGTACCACAAATATTATTCGTTGGACAGAAGAGAACGATACTTTTTGCAAGAAAATAAAAAAATAAGAAAATTAATTCAATCTAATAAAAGTTGTTATAATTATTGTTAAGCTCACTCGAAATCAGAATAATCAGTTGATAATCTGCTTAGACAGTCAATTTCTCCTGCAGTTTTGGCAGTACGTGACAGTGACTTCAAAGTATCATCGCTAACAAAATATGTTCTGGGTGAAAATACATCTGATATGAAAGAGAATGAATTTTTGGTCATTGGAAAACGAGGGTTGAAAAAGGCAGTTGAGTTATAATGTATTCACCTAGTAGATTTGGTGCTTCAAGAAAATCGATTCTGATATCAATCGTCGAAGTACTGAAAGTAACATCCACTTCAAGTAGTCTTAATGGACTAAGGTCATATCCGTAGAGCAGTGAATCTCTGAAGTGGTCTGTCAACGTGTACACATTATCTTCAGCGAGCTTCATACAATTCGGTGCTAAAAGTTTGACAAAATTATGAAAGCGCTTTGATATTTGACTGCGAATTTCAATGAACAAATTTTCTTACTTTGACATCCTAGTTGAAAGGTAAGCGTCTTTTCACCAGAGAAATATTTACATCCAGCTAATGAAAACTTATCATGAAATTCGGATTCAGAATCTGTAACGCGGAAATCCAAGTAATCTCTCTGAATAACTTCAACAAGTTGATACTTTTCTTTCTAATAATAAGCATTTAAAGGATTAATCTTTCACGAATCAATCAAGAACTTTGCATCACATTACCTTGGCATCTAATTTGTAACAGTTAATTATCGTTGCAACAAGCGTGTATCCACTAAAAGCTCTATTATCGGTCTAAATGATTTAGAAAATAATAATTAATAAAAGCTTTTCAAAATACAGCGAAACTTTGAATTGACTAATCAATTCAAAACAAAAAAGAGGAAACACTTTGTAATAATATAAATTTTCTGTAGCATGACCTTTACCCCAAAATCTATCAAATATTGAAAAATTTAGATCCTATTTAACAGTTTTCTGACAAAAGTTTGTTTATTTGAGAGACCTGAATATTTAAATGCTAAGATACTTTGATCAGAATCATTTGTTATAAAACTTTTTCTTAATAATCGGGGATTCAGTTAAACCAATTCTGTCATAAATTCACTTCTTTCTTTTCTTTATTTTCTCTCGATCTCTTTTAAAATTGACCGCTTCACGATAGGGAAATTTAACTATTTCATATTGGCAGAATTTCTCATGAATGGATCCTCAGATCATTATATTCACACCTCATGGGAATTTAGACTTAATTTTTTGATATCAAGTTATTGCATAGAATCCTCGTAGTTTTAGCTCAAGTTGTTACGAAATTTCGCTTATCTTAATCATTAATGCAGAAGATTTAAACTTACAGTTTCAGTGAAATATTGAGTAACCACAACCTTATCGTATTTGTCGTTATTAGTAATAGTATCATACTGGATTGATTCCCATGCTTTCACCACGAATCCAGGTCGATATTCCTGAGAAAAGAAACAAAAAGGAGTTTTGATTATAAACTAATCGTCAAAGATTAACTTGCATGTTTAACTTACAAGGTACATTTCACCTAAATACTTGTAATGTCCTTCCAACATAAACAATGTTATCAAACTAAATTGACCAGTGGATTGATCAATACCAGGTGATGTTTTTTCAGCTAACATGATGTTACAAGATCCGCCATCTTGAAATATATTAACTATTCCAAGTGAATAGTCATAAAGAGCTTCCGTTTCAATGCCAAGAAGTGATGTTTTCAAACGCATCAATTTGAGCTTACCATCAGCATGTATCTATTAATATAAAAGAGAGTTTAACATTATTATCGGATCGGCGATGACTTAATCCGATCTCTTACCTCGCTGATACTTTTAGTAGTTGTTGGACCAGTAATTGTTTCCGAAAGTATGAAATGGACATAATAGAAATCCAACATCGGAAGAGGTAAAGTATCTTCATAATAAGCTGAACAACCGAGTCCTGGAAGTGGCTGTGAAAAAAAGGCGATTGATAAGTTCACTACTGAAGAGCTTTTGATGAATTATCTTACGTTGACAATTTTCGATAAATCTTTAGTCGCGTCCATCTCTTGTAAGTAAATATCCAAAATTAGATTTTCTTTCGTTGAATATGCTTCAGATGGGTTACTCCCACTGAAAGCAATTCGACTCGGTGCTTGTAGACCTGATTCTTTATCCAAGTTAGCTGATTTGATATGGAAAATGTCAGGAAAAATTGAAATTTAATCAAAGATAATAATCAAATATCAAGAAGTGATAATTAACTTACATTTGTAATAATAAGTGATATTCAATTTATAGTTGATATTGGTTTTGAAACTTTTCATCATTGTGCCTCTCACATTTTTATCCGCACTCTTTTCCTGATTTGTTGATTAGATTGAAAATCGAACCAGTTAGATAGTAATTTTTGTGACTAACTTAATATTAAACGTTACCCAAATTAGTGAATTATGTCCGAGACGATAAAGTATCGATGGTCCCATGGCTACTAACAAACTCGTCAGTCGCTTATTGATCCCAGGTAAGAGTTGAGAGCTCGACAATTTGTATAATGTACAATCGATACCTTATCAGAAAAAAGTCAACAGTTACTCGCAATTTAATAAAAAGTGATAATTAATCTAATTAGTTTGGAAACTTTACCCATAATCACTTGACGCTCATAACTGTCCTTCCCGTTTCCGTCCTTCATATTGTAATAAACATTGAATGTATTTTTAGGTGAATCAACTACAATCATTCCGTTAATTGTTGATGTCGATGAAATAAACTCTTGCATAAAGTATCTATCTCCATTGCCCTGTTAATAGTAACAATCAGCTAATTTAGTAATAGTTTCAATTTGCAGATTAAAACATTGATTAATATTTACCAAGTCTTTTAACGTTGCATGAATAATGTAATTACCCCTTGGTAGATTCAACGGTAAGTCCATCAATGAAGTAATTGACGCTGGTAAAATAATTTGATTGAAATATTAATCAACTGCTAACAATTAGCTAAGTTTAATATAAGCTTACCTGAATTACCAGAAATAATCATCAAAAAAAGACATAACAATAAAGGTAACATTTTCAAGCTGATACTTGGTGATGGTGACACTTTTTTATGCAGCAACTTGTTAACGTAGTTGAATTGTAATGAATAGGTAGTAAGTAGATAATTGTTTTAATTGTTTATCAATAAATTACCGGTTAAATTGTGATAAGATTTGTAACAATTTGATATCATTATCATTACCAGGTAAAACAACGCCTTTCGTTTAAGCAACGTCGAAGACCAAAAGGGCAAAGGCCATGGAATTAGTTAGACCTTAATGCCTAATTTTATATAAAGAAAATTGCCCTGTGATCATTTTGAAACCATTTTAGACATTCTTTTTCAAAATTTCATCATTAATAATTAGAAGATTTCAGAGTACAAATTAATTTCGAATGTACAATAATTAGGAAAACGTTGTGCGAATAATTACTTTAATTGTTGAAACTTTCAAACGACAATAATGGATTTGCTGATAATTAAACCGATAATCAAATCATTTGCTTGATAATAATTAGCAAAAGAGGATATCAAAAAGAATAGGGAATCGGCCAATCGCACAAATAAGACAATCAAATTTACTGAGTAAACATGATTTACTGAATACAAAAATTTCTTCAATTTTTACTTTTTGAGTTGTTGAATTTCTGCATAGAGATGCTGTAAGTGTACAGAGACTAATTTTGTTAATTAATGAGACTAATTAATCAGATGAGATCAGTTTTTGTTTTCATTTTTGGAATCAGCATAAAAAGCTGAGTCAGAAAAATAAGCGAAAATTTTTTGGGTGAAGGGCGGATTTAATATGCCCCTTATCAACTATAACTAATCATTACTACTATTTTTTGATTATCTAATCAACGTTACAACTGTAGAGACATCTGATGAATTTAATTCTAATCTATTCTTTTGGAGGCATTTTCAACAATTAGTTGCAAGTAAATCAATTGAATGGTTCGAGCAATACCATTGTTATGATCTGTTTAGGTTCTGATGATTTGGTGATTTTTTCATGAACTCAGCATGTGACCAGTGGAAGCAGAAATAGAAAAAGTTAATGAGAGTAAGGCGAAGAGTTGGCGTAACTGCCGATTTGCCTACCGACGTGATAAAATTAGTATTTATCACGAACAGATTACCGAAGGTAAATCCAGAGCGTTCGTTGTATGAACATATTAAAAGAAACATCTATTTCATATTACATAAGCATGTTGATAACTCATCAAAAGATAAAAGTAATGAACAAATCAATATTGGAACTTATATAAGTATATTAAACTTTAGCCTAGTGACGAAATAAATCAATAAATAGCCACTTCGCGATCATTTTCAAGCTGATGAATGAGATTCAATGGAATTTCTCTTATTGAATTTTATTTCAGTATTAAATCAAATTGAACAAGACAGTAAGTTATCAATTTGGCTTATATTAATACATGTATTTTAACTCGCAAGTAAATGACAATTGATGAGATTTTGAGATTTTATTGCGACGGGAAATCATTTGTGAAGGAAATTGGCCAGAGTAATGCTTATTGTAAGTGTCAATGTGAACATTGAAGTGATGAAATTGGTATTAATCACAAATAAATTTCCAAAGGTAAATCCAACATTTTTCCAAAGGATTCGATTTATGAAGATGTCATGCTAATTGTGTAAATAGAAAAGAGATTATCAGTAATAGAATCAATCTGATCATAAGTGAAATTTACCTCGTGTTGTAATTGTTGTGACTTTGGTGAAAGAGATATTGTATAAGTCTTCTAATCCATAAATCGCAATTTGATTGATCGAAACCAGTCGAGCTGTGAGGTAGGCGATTAATATGAAATCAGCAACCATAAAAAGAATCCAAATGAAATTGAAGTTCTTTAGATGACCAAAAGTATCAACGACATTTACAATTCCAAATACTCCAGCGTGAATATATAATATGGTTATGAAATATCGAAACTTTCGATTGATTGTGAAGCTAATACGGCGTAACTATAACCTAATCGAATCTTTCTCAATTTTTCTAACATGATTGCCGGGGTTTCATGACAGGAGAAGTTTTTAATATTCTTATTTATCGAGTCAAAAATAGCTTCTAAACAAATACAAGAATCAATGACTATGTTTAAAAAGAATGAATTTCCAATATCGAAGCAAACATGAAGAGAAAATTTTACAATCGATGGCAAACTTAAAAGTTTACTATCAAAATGTTTTGGAGAAAATATAGAGAATATGGAAAGAAAGTATCGTTATTAGATAAATGTATTTAATTCGACGTTTTCGCTTTATGATCAGAACAGAATTTGTATCGAGACTAAGATTACTAAGATAGAAAGTAATCACGAAAGCTTGACCAGTCTAAAGAGAACACAACAAATAGACGTGAAATCATTATTAGAAGCATAATTGATCTACGTGCCAACATGAACGAAAATAGTCCATTCGATTCGATGTAAAACTCGTACCAATCAGCTGATAGAAAAGTGATTGGATCGCCAATGATACCGATAGCCACGATTAGGAACCATTTAGGTAAAGATGAGAATATCCATCTCGATGGAAATATAAAACCAGCAAGAATAATTGAATTATTAATTTCACTCGGACCATTAGAACCTTCCATGTCTTTGATTACTCCACGATTAAACTGATTTAATATTACTAAATTGGAACTAATCCTTTCTCTATGATATGTACTACAGTATAAGTAATATCGATTCTCGACTACTGTGCAAGTCCGCAAATGATTGATCTCTTGTTTCTGTTTCTAATGAAAAGATTTCCTGGATTTAATTTAATCGCCAAAGAGAAGTCTCCTGTTGATTATTTTGTTCGAGCAGGTAGTCAGTGAATAGTTTCGACATAATCAATGAATGATTAGTTGATATCAAAATATATTGATTCTCATCAAGCTTTCATTGACTTACACCAATTTAAAAGGATTATTTTTAAAGTTCGTCATTTACACATTAATATAAACGATAAAATGAATGATCAACAAATTGATAACAACAGGAACAGATCGAGAGCTCTAGAAAATTTAGATGTTTGATTTTAAATCAAAGGACAACAGGCGTTTCTGCCTAAAATTTTTTATATTTTTTCTGTTCATTTTCTGGTTGAGCTCATGCATAGATTAAAAAAATTTTTCGTATTTTTTAATTTGGGCTGAAACTTTTCAAAATAATAAAAAATAGGCAATGTTTTCGCAGCTCAATGAAAAACATTGTCCAAAAGTGACCTACTCTTCCGAAAATGGAATCATGACTTATCAAAATTTCAATGTTTAATCTATCGATTGATATATTTTTATAATCCTAAGTAATTTAACTTTCGAGAAATAATGAATCAAAATTTGAGTCCAACCTTTTGTCGACTAGGTTAATAGTTTGAGATAGTGATTAAAAATCGAACAACTAATTAAATCAAGAATTAAAATAAAGTTCCCTACGATAGTGTGGTCCAACCTAATCATATTTTTTATTCTTTTAAATTATACCTCACTAATCAGCCTTATGGTACCTGTAAAAACTATCTATCAATTCATAGATGAATATTGACATGTTGGGTAAGCACAACAGGTAGTAAACTCGATCTTCAGGATAATAAATAGCGAGGCGAATCTATTAATAGTAAAATTTATAATCTCGAGGGTTCAGAACCCAAGAAAACCTTATCAATTTTCTTACGTGTCATTTGTTAATTACTTACTGCATTAGTTACTTGGTCAGTATTTTGATTAATTTAGATCAGTTTAGACTGTTTTCTCCGAAGTTGGGTGGAAAATTCAAGGACATAACGCGGGGATAAGTTTTAACTTTTGTTTTAATTTTAATACAATAATGTATTAATATTTGAAATTTTGAGAAAAGTTACATGTTATCTATTTGATGAACTAGCCGGAGGACTTTTTTACAAACCTCTTATAGAGATATAATTCTAGTTTAAAGATCCAAAGTTTAAATCTCTCAATGAAATAATTTTCTCGTAAGAAATAAATCAAACAAAAAATATAACAGATGAATAAATATTTCAAATTTCAAAGAAAAACTGATAAATTAATCGATTGGTCCATAACAAATCATAATATATTCATATTCTTCAATTATTTCTCGTAATATTTCAATTTCATCTTTTTCGTCCAATTCGATCTCTTTAATTGGAATCAATTTACTTCGATTAACTATCGATATTAAATACCGTAATTGTATCTTTTCGTCTTTTATCGATTCTAAATTCTCTTCGTTTTCTTTGATCTTTTCTTTCAATTTCTCAATTTGTGAGTTAATTTCCATCTCGAAATCTTTTTTCATTCCAAGTCCAAACTCGTTAATTTGTTTGGTGAATTTTCCATCAGCGTTAAAGCTAAAAGGAGTTCGTCTATTAGGTCGAAAATTATCCAACAATTTACCAAGAGTTTCCAAAACATAGCAAAACTCATTTAGAGATTGATCAAACAAAAAACCGCTAAGGTAGTTTTCTTGACCAGTAATCGGTCGCTTAAGTTTCAATGTGCTCATTGATCTTTTCATCATTTCCATTCCACTCTTGATAATAATCATTTGTCCACGATTAGTAACTTTACGATTGAATCCATTGATCATCTCCTCGAAATTTTCTTCAATATAATCTCTAATAAGGTAGCTCTTGCCGAGACGAGCACGAACCATTATTTTTGTAGTTCCGAAATGTTTTAAGTGGCTTTTTGGCTTGTAACGGTAAAGTCGATATTCTAATGCATCTCGATCATAAGCTATTTTGATCTTAGCCAAACATAAACGATCAGCTAAGTCAAGAGATATTGAATGCAGCTCATCAACACTGAAATCTGAAGTAGTCGCAGCTTCAATGACATCGACCATATTAATGAACTTATCACATACTTCCTCGGTTTTCTGTCCTGGAAAGCGTTCCAGGGCAATGTATTAAGATAATGAATATACTTGATTAGATGGATCAAAACTACTGTAAGGTGTTGATGTGGATTCGAGTTCAGCTCCTTGTAAATTATATCGTCTCTTATAAACCATCGGGAACATCAACCGTTGGTCCGGGTAATAGTCTAAGTTAAATAATAAGCGCTATTTGACATTTTGCTGACGATTTGCGAACCTTATTAAAACTCGTTGTGATATTTTCATTCCTAAAATTATACAATCTGATCCTAGTTGTGATTTCATAGATGACAATTTCTTTAGTTGTTTGATGTAAATATTGTATCTTCTAAGAGTCGCAAGTCTACAAATTTCATCTGTTCTATTTACTACTTTGCTTTCAATCCAGTTCTTTTACTAGCTTCCATGTAATCGATAACATCACCGAAAGAATCAGCCCTTTGTCGTTGATTGTTGCAAATATCTCGTGACTTTCGTCGAACTGATCGTTAGTTTTAGAGCAACAAGCAACCCAAACGTTTCCTTAACAATTAATCGAATTCCATTAACAATATCTCGTAGCTTTGCTGTTTGCTTTGGTTTATTATCCATTTCCATGTCAACCGATGATAATTTATCATTCAAGAGATTAAGTTTATCACAAGAGATTTTGATTAACATTAATTGTCCTTCATTCATCTCTTTGCTTTGTTGATAAATTTTAATTCACTTTGGACAAGTTTAAGTAATGATTTCACTTGGATATGAGAATCAAAATTTGACTTGAGATCCAAAGATTTCAATAGATCATCAATAACTGATGAGAAATCGTAAGGTGATTTGTAACCAGAATCCAATTCATCCAATTGGGTTGCACAAAATTTTAGAAATCGCTCAATAAAAGACAGGATTATATTGATAAATTTAGAGTAAGGTATCGCCCAGAAAGACAATGTAAGACTTTCATAATCTTTCGTCATCCGATAGTTTGGACATTGCAGCAACAGCTGATAAAGTTGCGAAGCTTCATCGATATATTTTTGTGGTCCATTCAACACAATCAGCGCCTCATCAACAATTTCAACCTTTCTTTTGGAAACATCAATCTTCCTCTGGGAAACGATTCGATCCTCTGAACTAAGCTCATCCAAAGAGACTTTACTCAATTCACTTTCCGTAAGCAATTTATCACGATAAGATTCAACATCTTTGATAACTTGAAACAACGCAGGAAGATTTGAATAACTAGTCCAAGTAAAAAAAGTCGTAGGCACTTTAAAGGGATTATCCATTGGGCTCTAATCAACTAGACTAATTATTGGTAATTTATACATGACTAATAATCAAAATAATTGAGACTTTATGAATTGAAAATATAAAACTGAATTGGTATAAAACACCACAATTAACTATTGTTTTCTAAGATGACAGTTTCAAGGACACAGTGAATAGACTAGTAAATATTAAGAGATTTAATTCAGTAAATAAAAAATGATGAATATATTTCATCAGATTTTATGGCAATTAAAAACGAACTGCAAATTGCACTGCAATTATTGCAGTTTGCAATCATCAAGTCAGAGCTCCATATTCACCAGAATTACTCCATCTATTGGGTTTCAATTTAGATTCCAATCTTTTTCATAGCTAAATTGCACATTTTTCTTGTTTATTTTGACCAATCACATCTCTTTCCAGGATAGGAAAATCTATCAACTTTTTAATTCATTCTGTTTCGATTTGATTGTGTGTAATTCAGGTAATTCATTTGAATTTACTCATTAACGTTGAGACAGTTTGAAGAGAAAATCTATATACAGTCTTCGTCACATGTTTGAGGACTTTCGACGCTTTTGCGAAAATCAGGCCAAACGACAAAATCGGGAGTTTTCGTTTTTTTAAATCTGAGCCTCGTTCGTTACGTTATTGTGAATTATGAAGTTGAGGATTTTTCTTCCATTTTTTCTTTGTTAAAACTTGTTTTTTAGATCATTTGTAAGAGTTGACCTCAAAGTTTTCATCCTTTTGCTTTTCCATATTCGATTACGCCATTAGCTCTTCAATTTTCCCAGCAAGATACTTTTGTTTATTTTGAGAGATCATCAGAATTGATATACGATCATCAGTTATTGATTATCTATGATCCAAATGAATGATAATTGCTTTAATCCCGTTGTGATTGAAGCTGCGACTGATTCAGATTTCAATGTTGATGAACATTCGATTAATTAATTTGTCAGTTTTTCTTTGCAATTTTAAATATTTATTGATTCATGATAATATTCTCTGTTTAATTTGGTTTTTATGTGAAAATTATTTCACCAAAAAATTTAAACTTTTGGTTTTTCATATATCTCCATAAGAGGTTTGTAAATAAGGTTTTCGGCCAATTCCCCAGCATTCTCCTCAAGAGTCTTCCATGACTTGAATCCAGGTAACTTAAAGAGACTAAGAGCATCGGTGACAATTTTGTTAACGGTATCATTCAATGAACCCATCACTTCGGGACTCCAATCAGGTTCCAATGACTTCTTGACAACATTTACTAAATTTTCTTGAAGAGTAGCGGAATTATTCCAGTTGGTTAGATTGTTCTCAATGTTCTTGACAAAATCAAGTGACTCATAAACAATGTGCAGAAATGGTCCAGGTACTTTGAGATCGAAATAGAAAAAGAAAAAGAAAACAATCAATAGTTTACGAACTGGTTATAAATAAATAAATGTAATTGTACTTACCATGTTTAGCGTTGATCGATGAAACACAGAAAAGAGCAGTCAAGACAAGAAAAGCTTTCATATTGATTGAATTGAGTACTACTGAGTAATTAAGAAAAGTTTCAAAAAATGAATGTTCGAAGGATTTTGTTGTTCGTTTCAACTGTTTACTTTTTGAGCTGTTAAATTTCTGCATAGAGATGCTGTAAGTGTACAGAGACTAATTTTGTTAATTAATGAGACTAATTAATCAGATAAGATCAGTTTTTGTTTTCATTTTTGGAATCAGCATAAAAAGCTGAGTCAGAAAAATAAGCGAAAATTTTTTGGGTGAAGGGCGGATTTAATATGCCCCTTATCAACTATAACTAATCATTACTACTATTTTTTGATTATCTAATCAGCGTAACAACTGTAGAGACATCTGATGAATTTAATTCTAATCTATTCTTTTGGAGGCATTTTCAACAATTAATTGCAAGTAAATCAATTGAATGGTTCGAGCAATACCATTGTTATGATCTGTTTAGGTTCTGATGATTTGGTGATTTTTTCACGAACTCAGCATGTGACCAGTGGAAGCAGAAATAGAAAAAGTTAATGAGAGTAAGGCGAAGAGTTGGCGTAACTGCCGATTTGCCTACCGACGTGATAAAATTAGTATTTATCACGAACAGATTACCGAAGGTAAATCCAGAGCGTTCGTTGTATGAACATATTGAAAGAAACACCTATTTCATATTACATGAGCATGTCGATAACTCATCAAAAGATACAAGTAATGAACAAATCAATATTGGAACTTTTATATTAAACTTTAGCCTAGCGACGAAATAAATCAATAAATAGTCACTTCGCACAATTCATATATTAATATATCGTTGCATAATCATTTTCAAGCTGATGAATGAGATTCAATGCAATTTCTCATATTGAATTTTATTTCAGTATTAAATCAAATTGAACAAGACAGTAAGTTATCAATTTGGTTTATACATGTATTTTAACTCGCAAGTAAATGACAATTGATGAGATTTTGAGATTTTGTGGTGATTGGGAATCATTTCTGAAGGAAATTGGCCAGAGTGATACTTATTGTAAGTGTCAATGTGAACATTGAAGTGATGAAATTGGTATTAATCACAAATAAATTTCCAAAGGTAAATCCAACATTTTTCCAAAGGATTCGATTTATGAAGATGTCATGCTAATTGTGTAAATAGAAAAGAGATTACCAGTAATAGAATCAATCTGATCATAAGTGAAATTTACCTCGTTGTAATGTTGTGACTTTGGTGAGAAAGAGATATTGTATAAGTCTTCTAATCCATAAATCGCAATTTGATTGATCGAAACCAGTCGAGCTGTGAGGTAGGCGATTAATATGAAATCAGTAATCATAAAAAGAATCCAAATGAAATTGAAATTCTTTGGATGACCAAAAGTATCAACGACATTTACAATTCCAAATACTCCAGCGTGAATATATAATATGGTTATGAAATATCGGGCGAACTTTTCGATTGATTGTGAAGCAAATACTGCGTAACTATAACCTAATCGAATCTTTCTCAATTTTTCTAACATGATTGCCGGGGTTTCATGACAGGAGAAGTTTTTAATATTCTTATTTATCGAGTCAAAAATAGCTTCTAAACAAATACAAGAATCAATGACTATGTTTAAAAAGAATGAATTTCCAATATCGAAGCAAACATGAAGAGAAAATTTTACAATCGAAGGCAAACTTAAAAGTTTACTATCAAAATGTTTTGGAGAAAATATAGAGAGAATGTGGAAAGAAAGTATCAATGTTATTAGATAAATGTATTTAATTCGACGTTTTCGCTTTATGATCAGAACAGAATTTGTATCGAGACTAAGATTACTCAGATAGCGAAAGTAATCACGAAAGCTTGACCAGTCTAAAGAGAACAACAAATAGACGTGAAATCATTATTAGAAGCATAATTGATCTACGTGCCAACATGAACGAAAATAGTCCATTCGATTCGATGTAAAACTGTACCAATCAGCTGATAGAAAAGTGATTGGATCAAGCCAATGATACCGATAGCCACGATTAGGAACCATTTAGGTAAAGATGAGAATATCCATCTCGATGGAAATATAAAACCAGCAAGAATAATTGAATTATTAATTTCACTCGGACCATTAGAACCTTCCATGTCTTTGATTACTCCACGATTAAACTGATTTAATATTACTAAATTGGAACTAATCCTTTCTCTATGATATGTACTACAGTATAAGTAATATCGATTCTCGACTACTGTGCAAGTCCGCAAATGATTGATCTCTTGTTTCTGTTTCTAATGAAAAGATTTCCTGGATTTAATTTAATCGCCACAGAGAAGTCTCCTGTTGATTATTTTGTTCGAGCAGGTAGTCAGTGAGTAGTTTCGACATAATCAATGAATGATTAGTTGATATCAAAATATATTGATTCTCATCGTATAGATTCTGATTATTATTTTTTCGCTAATGTTTTTCTGCAATTGGCCCAAGGTATTAATACTAAAAATAGAAAAAATTAATGAGAGCGAGGGTCAACGTAAGTGCCAATGAGAACAACGAGACGATAAAATTAGTATTTATCACGAACAGATTTCCGAAAGTGAATCCAACATTTTTCCAGAGCATTCGTTCCATGAACATATTATTCTGAAGAAAAGAATATTTGAAAAATGGTTGGTATAGTTTAAGAATTATTCTGGGTGAAGCTCAATAGGCAATAATTATGGACAATAAGGGTCAACCGGGCAGTTCAAATAATCAACCAAATTATTTAATTGTTCGAATGTTTGAGTTTCTCAGGCTCTCCGGGCCTTACTTTCTCGATTTTGATTCTTTTAATGAAGACTTAACACAAACTAATTTAAACAAAAATATTTAATTAACTTCGGTAGATAAAGTTTGCAATTGATCATGCAGCTCCATCCAGAGTAATCCTTAAACATACCCTTAAGTTGACTTTTCTTATTTTATTGAAGGAATTATTAATAAACAAACCTGATACTGAAATCGACGACTTGTTGCTCCTAGTGAGATTTCGTATAAATCCTCTAATCCATGATTTGAGAGTTGATTAAGTGAAACAAATCTATTCGTAAAGTAAACAAGGTAAATAACATCAGCTACTGTGTAGATAATCCAAGTAGGATCTACGATTTTCGTATTGCCAAAAGCACGAACATTATTAAGAACACCAAATACCCCCATTTGAATGTATAATAAGGTTATATAATATCGCCCGAACTTTTCGCTTGATTGAGTTGCTCGGATCAGATGACTATAGTTTAATCGAATTTTTTTCATTTGTTGTAGCAGTATTTCTAGGGCCTCATTTCGAGGAAAATCTTTAATCCTAACATTTATCGAGGAAAAAGCCACTTCCAAACATATACAAGAATCAACAATTAAATTGAGTAAGAAAAAGTTACCAATTGTTGCAATGACATTGAAACTATTAACTAGAAAACATTGACCTTTAAAAAAGAGCTTTTTGTGACATAATCGAAAAGGTAGACAAGCGTATGAAAGAAACAGTATGACCAGAACAATTTTCTTAATTCGACGAGCTCGTCTTATCTTTTCAACAGAACATGAGTTGGAATCAATATCATAGACACAAAGTCGTTGAATATAATCACAAAAATACGACCAATTCATAGAACAAGCGATAATCATTCGGAGTCCCAAAATCGTAAGATTGAAAGCAGCGCAAACTATTCGAAAAATTGAAAGTTTATCCTCTTTCATTGCGAAACTGTCATTATAAATATCCAATGACACTGAGTTTATAAACACTAGACCGGAAAAAATTCCCGTTGTGGATCTCACAAACCATTTAGGTGAATCTGAACTAATAATTATCTGAGGATGGAAAATAACATCTTTTACAACAATTGAATTGTAGTTTATTTGATCATTAATCATTTTCAACAAAGTTAAAACGGTAAAGAGACTTGAAAAATGAGTAAGGTAAACTCGGCACTTAAGAAACATCTATTTCATATTACATGAGCATGTCGATAGCTCATCAATAGATAAGAGTAATGAACAAATCAATATTGGAACTTTTATATTAAACTTTAGCCTAGCGACGAAATAAATCAATAAATAGTCACTTCGCACAATTCATATATTAATATATCGTTGCATAATCGTTTTCAAGCTGATGAATGAGATTCAATGCAATTTCTCATATTGAATTTTATTTCAGTGTTAAATCAAATTGAACAAGACGTAAGTTATCAATTTGGTTTATACATGTATTTTAACTCGCAAGTAAATGACAATTGATGAGATTTTGAGATTTTATTGTGACGGTAAATCATTTTTGAAAGAAATTGGCCATAGTGATGTTACGTAATGTCTCAGTTCGTTCCAAAGTGAACATTGAAGTGATGAAATTGATGTTGATTACAAATAAAGTTCCAAAGGCAAATCCAACATTTTTAATTTTCCAACATTCTGGATGAGTTTCCAATTTGTTACTCACTAATTCAATTCGAACATCAACTTCAACTATCCACTACCAATGAATTCAGTACTTCGATTTATTATTATTTCAATTTTATTGAGCAAATTTTCTAATCAGTTATTCAAAGCTTTTTGGTTCTCTATTGTTACAATTTAAGATAATTCTAATGATGCCTAATCACTACAGATAGAGATACCCCAAATGCATTGATTTGGAAGACAACTGTCTGTAGGTGTATTCCTGGCTAAATGCCGAAGAGATGGAAATAACAAAGGTAAAGCTTAAAGAGAAACTCAATTTAATTCCTCACTTTATCTCTGAATAGATATTGTTTCTGCTATCTCTTGGTGGAAGTTTTTTTAGCAATCTCCTTCTAGTGATAACTCATCTTTCAAAAGTAAAAATACCGTTAAATTGAAACCAAATTAACTAATTGTTGTAATTAATAGAGTAATGGAGATAGATGCTTCATGCAAGAGTTTATTTCATCAACATCAACAATTAACGGTATGATTTTGTAAGGTCTAATTAATTCACGGGGATGAGGTACAGGCACCCTTACAAAAATGAACCGATTATTATCGTACTGCAAAGCCTAACAATCAGTGAGAGGGTTCAAAGTAATTTACCCTGATAGCCCTTTTGCTGAATAGCTTGACAATCAGTAAACAATAAATTAATTAAGGAAATTGTTTAATTGAAATAGTATCACTTTGTTGAGAATTGTAACATAGGAAACGGAAATTTGAGAAAGAGAGAGGATAAGCTTTAACTTGAGGTTAAAG